CATTAGGTGTCTATTTACTTGTGACCACTCAGTGTATATATATCTGAACCAAAATTTAACTTGTTCAGTGAAGTGTTTAATAAAGTGAAATAAAATAGAAGTTTCATTTTTATAAATATGTTATTATTATTAGTTTCCAATAAATGCATAAAGTAAAATACCAGTTTTGTATTTTCAAGGATACAGTTCAGTTTCCATTATAAGACACCAAGACAATTTTCTTTTTTACAAAATATACATAAGAATGATGAATATATAAATTTACAGAAGAATTCTGTATAAAATATACATACATAATAAAACATAGCATGAATGACTATAGAAATGATTGACTTGGTACACAATATGTAAGTGAATTTTAGTAAGTGATTTGTTATGCTTTTTTTATATCTGATCATTTATAAGATTTAATGCATGATTGGGCTTTGGGTTGGTTTCTGAACATTGTTTACTTTTATTAGGGTTAACTTGTGGTGCTCCATACAAAAGTCTGTAAAACATTTAATGTCATCCACAAAATGTTAAATTAGTGGTGCAATAAAAGATAGTTTTGATCTGATGGAGTGAAAATAACTTCTTGAACAATTCTGGGCATTGTACAGTCTTTTGCAGTGGTCACATTAACACTTAAAAAATTTCTTCTAAAAATTGCTTTTTCAAGTATAAAATCTACTACTTCACATACTGTATCAAAATGGTTATTTTTCAATGTAACATTATTTCTGATTAAGTTAACAAACCAATAGTAATGTGTCACCTTCAGTGATATATAGGATACCAGATATATCTAAAGCTGTACATTAAGCTTGGTTGTTGGTGAACATGTAGAAACAATAACAAATTTATTCATTCATTATACACCTGTTGCAAAAATACTGTGTTTACAATGTTACAGCCTTAAATGTGATAACTATATACTACACAGTTACTCAAGTGCTTTGTAAAAAAAACCGTTCAAGGAAGACAGATATTCCTAACATTTTATTTTTAGGCAAATACATACTTAGCTAAAGTAAAAACCTACTATTTTGGATGTTCTTCAAGTAGCCTAAATTTAAAATCAAACAGCATAGAAATTAGAATAATGTCAAGATATCTTGTAAAATAAAACTTTATAATAATGACTTTATCTTACAAATTTCAAAACCATTATGGAATAAATAAAAAGAAAATTTGAAGATTTATTTGTTTATTTATGGCAAAGCTGCTTAGGTTATCTTCAGTTGTCCCTATTTTTGAACTGCCAACCACAGGGAAAGTAATTGACTGGTAGCACTCACCACAAATAGTGGGACTGACTGTCATTTTAATATGCACAAACAGTTAAAAAAAGGTGAGCATGTTTGGTAACAGATTTTGATCTCTCAATCTGCAGATTGTGACTCAAGCACCCTAACCATCAGTTTGTGCCAGGTGGAAACTATGTTCAGACAGTACATTATTATTGTTTCAATGACACTGTTTAACTTCTCAATGTTAGCTGCTGTAATGTTTCATTATTATGATGATAGTATGATATTTACTGACTTTTTAGAATTTATCTGTATAACACTTTAGCCAAATCTTTGGTATTTTTATATGAAAGAAGAAAGATTTCCACTATGATAATATAGTATTTTAGATTAATCAGTGGGCCCGGCATGGCCAGGTGGTTAAGACGCTCAACTCGCAATCTGCGGGTCGCGGGTTCGCATCTCCGTCCCACCAAACATGCTCGCCCTTTCAGCCGTGGGGGCGTTATAATGTGATGGTCAATCCCACTATTCGTTGGTAAAAAAGTAGCCCGAGAATTGGCGGTGGGTGGTGATGACTA